ATACAAAAGATGTATATGACCGGTGTCGATTTATACATATATATGTATATTGTATATTTATATATATATATATCATAGTCGGAAACATATATAATATAATATATATATATATATATATATATATATATATATATAATATATATATATATATATATATATATATATATATATATATATATATTATATATATATATATATATATATATATGTTTATATATTATACTAAATACATTCTTATATTATAGATATTTATGCACATTACATTATGAGAGATTTATGAAAAGTGACAGTCTATCAATATTCATGATACATTCACACAAATACCAAGAGCGCCTTATAAAACCACGTGACCTTTTTAACCGAAAACGTGCCTCCATTTTCTCAAAAAAGGCGCTCATTGGCTCATAAAACCGTTATATTTAATTTGAATTTATTACTGTTAACTTCTCAAGATCTGTTTCACATCTTTAATTCTGAGAAAAATTCCGTATCTAGTGTGGCTGTGTATATTGTAAGCAAATAAAAAAGAGGAATATTGATGTGGAAATATGACCCGTTTCAGCAGCCAATCAGCGGGCTCGATTCAAACGCTTCTCAGGGCTACCAACCGAACCGAACAAAGTGGGCGGAGCTTCACGTAAAAAAAAGAAACAGGGAGAGAGAGAGAGAGAGAGAGAAAGAAAATTCATAAATAAACGGAGAGACAAAGAAGAAGACGAAGAAAAAAAGAAACGGAGAGAGAGAGAGAGAGAAAGAGAATTCATCAATAAACGAAATGACAGACCAAGAAGGAGAAAAAAAAAAAAAAAAACAACGAGAGAGAGAGAGAGAAAGAGAATTCACCAATAACCGAGATGAGAGACAAATAATAATAAAAAAAAGAAACAGAGAGAGAAAAAAAAGAGGAAGAGAAAGAGAGAGAAAAACCCAATAACGAAATGACGAGACAAATAAGAAAAAAAAAAAAGAAGAAAAAAAAAAAAAAAGAAACAGAGAGAGAGAGAGAGAGAGAGAGAGAGAAAAAAAAAAAAAGAGACAGAAAACAATAAAATACACCAACAAACAAAATGACAAGACAAAGAAGAAGAAAAGAGAAAAAAACATCCATAAAGGGACCGTCTCCTTTTTTTTTCGATTTTTCGATTTTTCTTGCCGATTTTGATGAAACTCACACCCTTTTATTTGGGCCCCTTCCCATTGCCTGTGGTCGATTTTTTTCGAAATCGCCCGAACAGTTTTTGAATTATTGTCAAAAAACGGAAAAATGCGAAATTCGCCATTTTGAAAATGCAGCACCTGGGTCAAAGGATTCCGACTTCAGAAACGGCAAGACATTCAATTTTATTTGATTTTTGCACAGAACTACCTTATATCTACAACTTGATCGAGAGCGTTTTTTCGATTTCGACTTCAATTTTTTTTTTTTTTTTTTTTTTGTGAATTTTTGAAGTAGGGGACTTCAAGAAAAAAAAGGTAAAAAATTTTCTTACATTGACCACTTTTACAAGAAGTACAGGCAAAAACTGCGAAAACGCTCTCGATCAAGTTGCAGATATTTTATTTTTCTACAAAATGAGCCATAATATGTTAATTTTGGACATATGGTGTGCCCGGAATCCTTTGACCCCCCCCTAATGGTGGAGTTCCGAGATATCGGCATTTTAACGTTCTTCATCTTTCCAAGGCTATCTTGATATCAACAAAACAAGGCATAAGATTAGTCTTCCTACACCATAAT